ACGCATGCATGTGCACACAACACACACACACACACACACACACACACACACTCATTCCCTCTCACAGGGCCACCCACTCACTGGCAAAGAAGAGCCTCAGAGAGGACCAGGTCACCCACCTTTTGGGCCTGATGCCACCCTCAACCCAAACCCATGGGGAAGTGAGTCCCATTCACTTCCGCTGCCAACCACTCCAGTCCATGTGCCCCACCCCACCGATGATTCTGCCATTCACCCCAAATCCCCCCTTCCCATGAACCTTGAAAGGGGTGTCCAGTCAAGAAAAACATCCTTCACTTTTTTCACTTTTTTATTAATCAAATGATACAAAACAACCATCATTCTGTAAATGCCCAAGCACCCAGTTGGTCCTCTCACCCCGATGTCACACCCTCCTCAGCCTCTTCCCTAGCCCTAGTCTCCCTCCTCCCCGGCCCTAGCCCAGGACCAGAGTTCCAGAGGAGGCTGGGGCAGAGCTGGAGGACAGAAGGGAGAGCAGTGGACGGACGGCTATGGCTAGGACTCAGGGAAGAGATGAGGAGGGGTAGCTTCTTAAAGACCCTGTTTAGTGCCAAATATCCAGCCATGTTCCCATTCCCGTCTTCAGATCATTTCCCACTTCCTCTCTATCCTCCCTCCACTACCAAATTCCTTGTCCCTTACACCCCCTTTATCCCTCCAGCATACCTCAGTATCCATTTATGACCCAACCCACCCCCTGGGCCTCCCTCTGGTGGGGACTCCTGGACCCACGGAAGTGCAGAAATCCTGGGGAAGGACCCTGACTCTTGCAGAGGCGAGGAAGGTGCAGATTGGGGAAAGGGGTGGTGGTGGAGGAGAGTTTTATTTCCAGGCCCACAGTCTCTCCCTGACACCCCCCAAGGACTCCAGGGCGAGTTCTCAACTCCCCTGGACGGGGCTCTCTAGCTTCACACTCTTGGCGGCTTCTCCAATCAGCTCCCAGAAACTCCCGAACTCCAGCTTAGTGTTGTTACAGCTGCCCAGGTTGGCAATTTTCTCTTCCAGCCCACAATTGCTCTGAGGGGAGGGAAGACACCCGGTTCAGCGAGGCAGCACCTTCGAATCTTCCCACCCCACCCTGCTCAGGGGCGGGCAGCAGGACCTAAGCCTACCTGGCACTAGCAAGGGGGAAAGGCTGGGGGTTACTAGTGCCAGTGTGGATGGGGTCTTGGAGCACTTGCTTGGGAAGTTAGGGTACTGGCTGGGGGGGTTGGGGTCCACTCCCTCAGTACCGGCATGAGGTGGGGCAGCTGCTGGGTGACCAAGTCCCGTAGCTCAGAGGGGGTCAGTGTCTCCTTTCCCCCCTCCACGGAGTACTGGTGGAAGTTCTTGATGAGGGTCTCAATGGCCCTCTCCACATCGCTGAATTCCTGGGCATCCTGAGAGCAGGGGACATCACCCATGTGAGGCAGCTCCTACCACCCTGTTTCCCCAGGAGCCTGGCAAAGCCAGTAAGGCAGCTGAAAGGCACATGAGCTACCACCCACTCCAGAGCCCAG